CATTACTGTCTTCAAATTTGAGGCATTGTGCAGATCATTAACATAAATGAGAAAAAGTAGTGGCCCAAGTATATCAATTAATCTGAGCGCGAAAAACCAATAAGTGGTAGCGGCGTGATTATTTAAAAGAATATTTTAAATTATTAAACAGGTATGACATGGCATCTCTGTCATACCTGTTTTAATTTGAGTATCCTTTTATTGCAGCAAATAGATTTTATCAATTGATTTAATAACTGAAAAAATTAAAGATTTAATTAAAATTTGTAGTTACCTCCACTTTTTGGTGGTGGTAACAACAACTTTAGGTCATATTTTGATCATGACATAATTAAAAAAAAAAACTACGAAAATAAATTAAACTACTTAATAGATGATTTAAATTTATGTTGATTTGAATTTGACGCAAACTCTAACATTTAACTAAGCCTTTAGTGAATCCTGCCCTGCATCAATTCCAACTATAACAATGGCCTTTACAGGATCTAATCTACATAAAGATTTCTCGATCAAGTCTGATAAGATCAATGTATACAACATCTTTTAACACTAAGTTTTCAAGTTTATCTTCCTTTCTATTTAAAAAAAACTTTTTTAAATAGAAAGGAAGATAAACTTGATAAACAATATAGTAATATTATTACAATATAGTAATAATATTACTATATTGTTTAAAAAAATATTTAAGATAGTTGATATAACTCACATTGTTTACAGTATGGAATTTTAAAACTAGGTCATGAAAAGAATTTTATTATTCTAAAGAATTATATTATACCGCCGTTTAAATTATTTTATAAAGTATTTAATCATCTATACGACCAAGATCTTTTCTTAAATTTCTAAAAAAAAAATTACTAACAACACTTTCAGGCAGTTCATGATTTTTTTTGATATCAAATATTGTACCGGTAGAGACTACTAAATTTGTATGGAGCATTTGTTTTACTGAATAAAAATAAAAATCTACCGGAGGAATGGTAACGAGTTATAACGAATTTTCAGCCTTTACTAGAAACTTTAGAACAGTCAAGGTTATTTACTCTTATTAATCTACTGAATAATCATCAATATTTTTTCTGTAGTCATCAGACAATGTCATAAACCACCTTTTCTTATTTTATTCTGATTCATTCCCAACAAGACTGCAAACAATCACTATTAAGTTGGGAGTTACATTATACAGTAAAAGGATGAGACTTTGCTGAATAACGAGTCGAGCGAGAATGAATTTTACTGGAGAGTCAATGGAGAAGACCTTTAACCTTCAAGGTTTATTGTAATAAATTCCTTAGAATGAAATGATTTGATCTCAAACACTTTCCAAGATACACCATATGAAGTAAGGTTATGGAGAAGATTAGGATGTCAAAGTTTATCGATAACTTTAGATATGACAATAGCAATAGGCTTCATGAATTCAAAATTTTTAATTTACTGCAGTTATGAAGTCAGCAAGCGAGAAGATTGTAAACCGTTGATTGACTGACAATAAGTTATTTGACTCAAAAAAAAATATTAGAAGTTTGTTGTCAAAGACTTAAGTATTTTACTAATAAGAGATAAAAGACTAATCGAAAGATAGTTGGAGGGGTCAAAATGTTCTCCAGAGTTTTTTAAATTAGAGCCTCAGAATATATGAAAAGTGTCATAAGATTCAAATCTTAGATGAAATGTGCTCTGCAAATAGTTCAGCCTTTTTTGAACTACTTGCAAAGCACAAGGAAAATAGTAAGTAATGCAGTGATAAAGTGAGTCCAAAGTACGAGATGAAAAATTTATAAAAAATCAATGCATGGTTGAAATCACCTAAAAAAGAGCGAGTACAAAAAGGAACACAAGCTGGATCAGAGACAAGATAAAAATCAAGGAGTGAAGGTAAGTGATTAGGGTTGTCTGGAAAACAATTGGGAAAGTTAACTTTCTAAAGAGTAAAAGATTGACAAATGCAGAAGGTATGTGCTTTAGTGCCAGCAGAGTCAAAGGTGTGAGATCCAATTTATTTATTGCAATGAGCATTAAAGTTACCAATAACAATAATACTGGTCGAGGGGTAAAGAGAAATGACATGGTCATTTTGATCAAAAACTGCAGTTTTAAAAAGAAATAGAACAATAAAGAACGAAGAGAAGATGATAGAACGAAGAAGGGCTGAAGATTCAAACCTAATTTTTCGTTAAATAGGGGGATTGATGCATAAGTTTACTTCCAGTAATACAACCAGCCGACGCGTTTATCAACTTTTTTTGTCAATGTTATCACACATTCCTTAATTGGGCATCCTTCCTCCCTCATGTATTTTTATTACTAGAGTCTCTCAAAATATTGTTTCAATTTCATGATGTAAAGACAAACTGTTGTTATATAAACAAGATGTTACTTTAAATATTTTACTTCGCTTATCTTTACCTGTACGTAATTTCTAAACAAAATCTGTTATTTCAATAGGCAGCAAAAGTACTTGATATTTGTAGCAATAGATACCATTCTCTTTAGACTCACCTTTAAGACGCAACGCGTCTTAGTACGTATTTGGTCGATTGGTCCACAGAAACATTTGCTTACATCAGTTTTTGCTGCTAACTTCAATGTTTTACTTACTTTAAATAAAAAAAAATTTCTGTTGACAATTTTTTCACTATTTCAGAATCTTTTACACTATTTGCAGCCATTTGACCATCATTTAAAGTTGTTACATGATTTAAAGGCTTTTCTCGCGGTTTCACGTTGCTTTTTCTCATCTCAGCTAATTTGCACTCATCAAACCCTTTTTGAACTTTTGCATGGCTTTTATAGGATGATAATACTACTTTTCTACGCAACTTAATCAACTTGTTACCATTAAAGCGATACGTAACTTTAGTCTGATTTTTATGCAGTGATAATACATATTTTTTACGCAATCCAGCTAATTCGCATTCAAATAAATCATACATTTGTCTCCCTTAGCAAATTTATCACAACTTTCATTTCATATACGATTTGTGGTGTTATATTCATTTTCTTTAGCCTGGACAGAAATTACTAGAAATTTACTTTCCTGATTTGATTGAGCTAATAGTAATTTTAAATATTTCAAAGATATAACAACTTTATTGACTTACGACCATCACTAAAACTGTCATTTGTTATTTATAAAAAACCCAATACCAATACTTCTTTTAATTTGGTAAACTTTCTTTTTAAATTAAATTATCTGAATCTTTTATTTACATCAATTATTATTTAATTAAGTCCAATAGAAAGTCTAATAATTATTAAACTATTACTTATTACTAATTATTACTAAATTAATTGCTTACTTATTTTTTAACAATAAAAATAACGATATTGGGATTGAAGGAAATCAAATATAAATAAAACCATTCAATGTTTTTTTTGTTTCAATTTTCTTGCTTGACTTAACATCATAGTAAGTCAATAGACGTTTAGTAATGCTAAGATGAAAACCGTTACAAAACAAACAAAATTAAAAACCTTAAGGAAGAACACTATTAAGATAACGTTAAAAAAGCAAAATAAAACAAACATGTTTGTACTTAATGTAAACAATTTTTTCTGCGACTTAAATTAAAAAGAACACGAATCGTTAACCTATCGGTGTTGAGCTGCTAGCACAAATAGGAAGCTTTAAACAAATGTTTAGTTGCTAACAAACGTAAATAGAATTCGAAGTACACTTTTATTTAGACTAAATTTAAATCAAGTCCCTTCAAAATGTTTTAACTTCAGCCTTAATTTAGACTAGATTGTTTGATGAAATTGTGTTCAGCTAACTTAACTTGAGCAGCCGTAGCGCAGTGTTCTGAAATCCCACGGTGCTCTGTGATAAGACCGTTGGGATTTCTTGGGACATTTAAAATTAAAAATAATAATAACAATATTAAAAAAAAAAGAGAAAAGTAAACCAAATAATTATAAAAAGTAAAAAAAAAAATTTTCAAATCCAAATAACTTTTTTTTTTCTTTTTTTTATCGGGGCATGCTAGGATATCATAAAATTATTTTCAGTTTTTACAATGTGCCAAAAATTACGTTAAAGCGTAAATTACGTCAGCGTAAATAATAACTTGTTATACCTTTTATAAAAGTTTTATAAATTATTTAAAGCAATATAATTAATAAAATAAAAAGTTTTTTTTTATAATAAATAAATCGAAAAAAGAAGCTTGACTAACTATAGAGTTTAACGGTATACAAACAGAAAATGTTTTTAAAAATAATTGTATCGATAAAAATAGTTGCATCGATAATTTTTTTTAAATTTAATGTTTTTATCACATTTTAAATCTGATTACTATTCCTAACTCGCTGTTGACTTGAAGCAAACCTTCGTATGATTGTTATTATTAATTTAACTACAATTTCAATATAGTATTATAGAAAAGTATAGCTATATTAAATATAGCCATCAAAAATGCATGAAATTAGTTTTATATTGATTTGATAACTTTTTGATACAATAAGCGCAATATAAAGTAGTTTTTTGTTATGCAACCTTTTTATAATCTTTTCAGAGAGTTTTTTTACGCATTTAAATTTTTATTAGGGATGAAGTGTAAGAAGTAACAATATATTTTTTATTTATAATTAAAAAAGTTAATCTAGCATTTTTAAAATAAGTTTCATTATATAATGTTTTAAATTTTCTTCAGTACTTTATAAATGAGAACATATTTTGTAAACTTTTTAAAATTCGTTACCACGTTACAAATAAGAGACCAGCTTTTAGTAATATTTACGTAACGTACAATATTCTTTAACCAGCTTTGACAATATTTACGTAACGTAAGATTTTGGTGTTTTGTAACTTTAACTCAAACAAAACGTCAGTGACACTCGAAAATTTTTTTTTTTTTTTGTTAAAGGAAAATAATATCAATATTAAAAATTGTATCTATATAACAATGTATTTTATAAAGTATTTATTTTGTGTGTGTATATATATATATATATATATATATATATATATATATATATATATATATATATATATAAGATATTTTACTTCTTTAGAAAAGGTTGTAATAAAAATAAGTAATTAATAATTTACAAATGTCAGTTCACCTTCCCGTAAGCTTGACAAACGATCAAACGACAAAAGTTGACGGATTATGTGCTATTACTTCTCAAAGGCTAATAAAAACTGGTAAGTTTTTTTTTATATCAAAACATTTATCAGCCTTTATCTATAACAAATGCGATAAAGGTTTATTCGTAAATTTACGAATGAACCTTTATCGCACTTTCTTGAATGCGCACTTTATAAAGTGCACTCTCAAGAAAATTAAAACAATTGGTCAAAACAAATGATTAAAAGAAAATGCACAACTTTTCAAGCAACATTTTCTTTGCTGAATCTCTTTCTAAAAAACGTACATATACTTTGAATACCTTTGAATACCTTTATCTACCTGGCATTAAACTGATAAGTGGAAGCAAAAATAGTTTTCTTGAGTTTGATTTTAAAATTTATTTATAGGTGAACTTATTTTAGAGAATGATGAAATTTTAAAAGATTTCAAAAAGATATTCAAAATGTATAAGATATTCAAAAAGATATTCAAAATGTATAAGATATTTAAAAAGATATTCAAAATGTATAAGATATTCGAAAAGATATTCAAAATGTATAAGAATGCTACTAAAATGTAATGCTAATAATACTATAAATAAAATAAAAATTCATTTTCGTTAAATTCTTTTTCACAATCATGCACACTAACACTTACTGATACTTTCTGAAATACCTAAGGTGGATGGGGCGATCGCCCAAACCCCCGCTTTCTCTTTTTATATTTTGAAAATATTTTTTTTTTTGTAGATTTGTATATTTAACAAAGCATTTTGTTTGAATACGGAAGTAAATTAGAGAGGCTGTTTAAAAATGATATAAAATCATAATAAAGTTGTAAAGTTCAAATTTTAAATCGGACTGTTTGGATACAAATATACGAATTAAATTCATAGTTACATAGATTAAGACAGTTTTATGATTTTTGGGCTTGCGTTCCCTCTACTTAACTAAATGGTCTGGATACACAGAATCAAAAAAACATGCAAATCGCCCTCTTCATTATTAGATGATCTGGATCCACCAAATCAAATACTCCAAACATTTCCTACCTTACTTGATGGTTTCAAACGATATTACTCAAACTCTAGTGAAGTTCCTTCACTAGAGTTCGAGAAACATTGTTACTCAAACTCTAGTGAAGGAACATCGTGATAAAGTTGAATCGCATGAAAAATAGAAAATCAGGAACTTTTTTATCAAACTAAAAAAAGAATAGAGCTGTTATTAATTATTTGACACTGATTTAAATAATATACTTATTTGTATCTTGATTAATTTGGTTTTTTATTCAATGTGTTGTTATATAATAAAATTACATCGCCCTTTTGATTTTGCACTTAAAAGTACATTTTGTAGGCTGAATTCTCAAATAAATAAATAAATATACTTGCTGGGTTGAATTCTTAAGTGTATATGTATTAGAGAAGTTCAAAAATAACATTTAAAAAAAGTATCTACAGCATCCGCCTTTATGTATTCTTTATGATAAAACAGTACTGAATTTAATAGTTTTTTTTGAATAAAAAACATTTTTTAGCGATGACTCAAGATCCTAACACATTAAATAGGTCCGTAGTATTAACAAAACATTTTTTTTCAAAAGTATATCTTGTTAGGTCTCAAATGAAGTGAAATTATACAAAAATTTCAAAAATAAAATAATATTCTATGAAAAAAGTTATTGTTTTAGACTTTACTGCATAGCAATAGAAACTTTTAAACTAAAAATGAAAAAGGGAGTTTTTACAAGATTATTTGATATTTTTTAAAATGGTTTTAATATAATGATTATTATTTTTAATTATTATTATTATTATTGTTATTATATATAAATATGTATATATATATATATATATATATATATATATATATATATATATATATATATATATATATATATATATATATATATATATATATATATATATATATATATATATATATATATATATATATATATATATATATATATATATATATATATGTATATGTATATATATGTTCATGTTTTTTTTTCAAGCGGAATCACCTGATATCGATTATGAAATTAACAATTATAACGACGCCGCTAAAACAAATGTAAAACAAATATATATTCCTCGTGAAATAAAGGAGATAAACAGAGACTTAAAAACAAAAACAAAACGGTAAGTAAAAATTTTTAAATTTAAATAAAATAAAAGCAACTAAATAAGTTAATAAAATTTATAAAATTAAAAAGTTAACGCGAGTTATAAAAATAATAGAATATTGGTTACGAGTCAAATGCATTGTCAATTGGAAGATTTTGTAGACGGAGATAATGATGAAGTGCAAATGGGTAATAGTAGCAATCGTAGGAAACACATTATTGGCAGAAAATTTTTTTTAATAAGTATTTAAGACTCAGCAGTTTTAAAATAATTGACCATTGTATCCAGATCACGAAAACCTTTCGTTGCTCAAAATTAATACCGATTCGTGTTACAAACTTTTAAGAAAACTTACATTTTGGCAACGGAAAAACTCAATTTATCTTTGATTCAGACTCAAAAAGTAAAGCAAAAGTCTTTTTTGATGAGATGCCACCTTGAGCAAGTTTTTCCGTTGCTAAACATAAGTTTTCTTGAAAGTGTTTCAAGAAAACTTATGTTTGGCAAAAACTTTTTTTTTTCTAAAAGATGATGCGTACTAGGTTACAAAAGATTACAAAAAAACAAAGTTTAATAAATTAAGACTTAAAAGAAGAAAAAAAAGTCTTTGAAAGAAAGAGACATAAATCAAAATCTTACAAGAAGTTTGCTTCACAGCATTTATGCAAAGTTAATTTACTTAGAAAAGGTGTACAAAAATATTTTCTAAAAGTAACTAAGGTTGTGCATACTAGATTAAAAAAATGGGAAAGAAACAATTTTGAAAGATTTAAAGAGGCTATTGGAGAATAGTGTAGGAGATAGAAACAACCGTTTAAAACAGAAAAAGAGAATTAATGTCAGAAAATTTGTTGTGAAACTTCAATGGGAGAAAAAAGTTTAAACAACTATATTTGATGAGGGACTGGGACTGGGAGCCGAGTTTTAAAAAATTGCTCAAAATAAACTATGAAAATGATACAAATCAATTGAATATTATACATTCAATGTTTAGACTAATTTTTGTTTTTGAATATATATTGGTTTAATTCGCTAAACACCGATGAATGCAGTTACTGTACAGTTCTGCATGAAAAAATAAAAATCCTGCATGAAAGATAAAAAATGAAATATAAAAACCCATTATAGAAAAAAAAGACTCATGAGACAAGTGCACAATTATCTTACTAGCTAATGAGAAGTTGGTCATTCTACAAACTAATGTTTTGGTTTGCAAAAATATAACATCTGCCAAAAAACCTTGTTGGAGACTAGTTAAGATATTTTGAATTTTAAAATTTTTGTATATGTGATTTAAAAGGATTTGGGCCAAAATGTTTTCAAAGGATTTGAGCCATAACTGCTCAAAACCTTTAATCTATTAAATGTTTTATCGTGCAATGAAATTTTTTTAGATATTTTATATTCCTAACAGAAAAATCACATTTTGCATTATCATGCATCATATAACTAAAATAAATATATTAAGATAATAGATCACTTAATCAGTTTTTATGGTAGTATATATATAAAAAAGTTAAAAAGACCTAACCTTAAAGCGATTGGACAGAAACTCAAAATTGGCTGCTGGAGGAAGTCTAACTTTATTTAAAATGCATTTTCGTGTCAAAATATAACAACTGTATTCATTACAAAGAAGCATAAGAGATATATAAAGGTTAGGAATGAAAAACCTTTGAAAATATTAATATTACTTTAAATAATTTAGTAATCTTAATTAATCTAAATTAACTTTATTAGTTTTCCCATCATTGCTGTAAACATTTAGTTAATATAATAATAAATAATAATGATAAAAGTTATATTTATATTATTATAAATACTTTGTTATAGTTATAGTTATTTTGATATTATTAATAATAATATTACTACTATTATTGTTTTTATTATTGTTATTATTATTAACATTGTTGTTATTTTTATTATCAACAATTTTATGAGTAATAGTAATAACTATTACTACCGTTATTATATATTTATTATTATTATATTTTTTATATTATTATATATTTGTCATAATTTCTTTTATTTCTACAGTTATTCTTCTAATAATTTTATTATTGATGAATTCGAAATATATTCTTGATTTGAAAACTTTTGAAAACATATTTTATTCAACTTGGTTGTCAAGGGGATTATTAATGTAAATGATAAACAATATTAGATGACTTTATACTGCAATTAGAAATATTCAATAAGTTTAAAAAATTTCCAAGGAACATCATATGAAAATAGCATTAAAGGAAGGCCTTTTTGAATTTATTAGATTGTATAGGATGTAAAAGACAAAGAAAGTTAATAAAAGAAAGTTTTGAAAGAAAGTTTACAAAGAAAATCACAGTCATCCCCCGACAAGAACACTTAATGTGCCAAAATGATAAAATTTTCTTGATTTCTAGGATAGCGTTGGTTTGTGCCGTTTATTACTAAATATATCCTCAAACACCATAGTAACACACGGCCCACATTTATATCATACCATAAATTCAGTGAGACTATTATTATATATTTTATACCACGTGAGGCCAACATCAAATTTTCTAGTTTCTAGATCTAAACGTAGTTTTAGGAAACACAATTAAATGAATCTGATGGAAAGGAAGATTAAAATGAAATTTTGAAATCTGAACCATTTAAAGGAGGTATTAGATAATACAAATCACTTGTTGTTTTTAAAATTGCCCGATATATTTGTATTTATTTTGTTTGAATTTTTTTTGTTTTCGGTTTTTGCATTCATTATTTTAATATTTATTATTTTATAAGAAAAAAAAATAAAAGTATATGTTTTTGATAGCTAGTAACGTTTTTTTTTAGATTTTTATATATAAATATGATATAATTTATAATTATTTAAAACATCTAAATAAACTTTATTTTTGCAGAGATATATTAACTAGACCCGAGTTCTTATCAAAACAACACGAGCTGAAATGTTCTGCCGCAAAGAAAAAAGAAGCAAAAGATATAGAAAACTCAAACGAACTTTTTCAAAAATTGAAAACGAGAACGGAGAAAATTGAACAAGTGAGTTAATTTATTCTAAGTTGTTATGCTTTGACTCAAAAATATCTATTTACTAATTACGTATCTTATAGTTAACAAATGAGAACACTTTGTCAACGAATGAAAAGAACACTTCGTCAAATAATGAGTTGTTTAAAGCTACAAAACTAAGACGATCGACAGTCGCTTCGTAAGCAATAATGGAAAGTCTAATTTTTCCGACGCTTTGCAAAGAACTGTATTGCGTCTATGGAGCTTTAGCGGTTTTACAAACGAGATAATATAGACTTTCAGATTTACCAACAAAATCAGCTTTTATATACATACATATATATATATATATATATATATATATATATATATATATATATATATATATATATATATATATATATATATATATATATATATATATATATATATATATATATATATATACATATATATATATATATATATATATATATATATATATATATATATATATATATATATATATATATATATATATATATATATTAAATTAAATATATATATACATATATATGTATTTAATATAATATACATATGTATAAGTATATACATGGATATACATATGTAATATATATGTGTGCGTATATATAATTAATAATATCTACACACAGATGAGTACGTGTATGCGGAGAGTTTATTATTTTTTGATCTCCTGTAATCACCCAGATTATGAATAATTTTTTGTTGTACAAAATATTGCAAATGTAAAAATTAAGTGTAATGCGGATCCCATGTTTTTGACATCGATAAAGAAGTTTTTACATTTTACAGTACTTCCCCAAGCAGTAATTTATGTTAGCAAGCATAATTTATGCTACTGTAGATAAAAGAGTAATAAAGTTGGCTTAAGCAATTTTTATTACGGTAGTTGCAAACTATATATAGAATCCCAATGTTTTTTTGAAATTTTACTCAATACATAATTAATTTGTTGATTCTAGAAGATGTTTTCATCGAGATAAACGCCTAAGGATTTTGTAACGGAATAATTTTTTATTTCAATTTTGTTTATATAAAGTTGCGGTAAGTTTGTTGGTAAAAATGGCTTTTTTGCATACGAATGAGAGTACATTTGATTTTATTAATATTTAAAATTAGCTTATTACATTTAAACCAGTTTGATATATGTTTTAATTCTTTATTCTTAGTGGTAAAGAGTTCATATATATTATTGCCTTCGAGGAATAGATTGGTATTATTTGAGTGCATGATACTTTTAAGGTTCGAAGCTTTTATTTAAATCATTTATATATATCAAGGAAAGTGGGTTCCGAGGATTGAACTTTGAGGAGCACCGCATACGATGTGAAGATAATTATTTTAATAACCGTTGTTACTAATTACAAATTGTTTTTTTTTTGTTAAGAAGCTTCTAAACAATTTTAAAGCAATACCTTTCATTCCATAATATTCAAGTTTTTGTAGTAAAATATAATGATCTGTGTCGAAAGCTTTTGATTGGTCAATCAAGATACCCAAAGTATTGTAATTTTTCAAAAGGTTTTGAGATTTCATGCACAAACTGGATTATTGTATGCTCTGTTGTGCAGCTGTGGCGCAGTGGTTAGATTTCTGGCTCAGACCCAGAGGTCCGAGGTTCTACGTTGGCTCTAGCCCAATAAGAGACATTAGCAAGGAAGGAGGCGTGAACTTCTAGTTAAATGCTCTCCCGCAGTGCTCTGTGATAAGACCGTAAGGACTTCTGGGAGCGACTAAGTACACTAAGAAAAAAAAAAAAAATCTTTTTTAAAGCCGAATTGTTTGTTGTATAGTAAGTTATTTTTGTTGAGATGTTTGCATATTCTATAGGCATTATTCTTTCTAAAATTTTTCAAAATACAGAAAGAGCAGAGATGGGACGATAACTGCTAATATTTAATCTGTCACACTTTTTAAAGATAGGAGTAACTTTAGCAACTTTTAATTGTTCTGGAAATATTCCTTGATTAATAGAAACTTTAAAAACTTTAAACAGAAGATAATTTTTTTTATACCGAAAACAGTCTATAACTACATTTCCATTAACTTCAATGGCTCCGGTTGCTTAAATTAATAAAAGGAGTTAAACACTACATATTTTAAAGTGTATCCACCAGATTTTGACCTCATCATTAAACATTTTTTTTTGTATTTTTTTGTACTCTTTTTAACATTACCTTTAAACAGATTGTTTTTATTATAAAGATTTTCTTTGTAACGACACAGGCGTTGAAAACTTAAACCAGGAAGTTGGAGTGGAGGAGTGTCTATGAAGAGGAGGGGCGTAAGCAATCTTTCATTTAACTAGTGTTGTTAACAACTAAAAGTCTATAATTCATTAGTCAAAATTAGTCGACTTTAAAAATCCAACAGTTTTAGACTTAATCAAGATATCAGGTTCCCTAATAATCAACTTAAAATCGATTTAGTCAATTATTAATTTAAAAATACTTATATCTATTTATTCGATTTAATTTTTTCAATTATTAATTTTTTTTTGTTTAACTAATAACAATAGCATGTACTATTACAACTTATAGATGGTGCCTAGTCTTTTGTTTACGAACTTAAAAGTTTATCTAATTAATAAGCACTTTCAAGTTCTTGCTAAAAATTGCATTTTAGCAATATTTATAAATAATTAAACTTTCGGTTAGGTAATTCATTAATTTTTTGTTTGTTTGTTCTATGCTTGTGATTTTCAAAAATGCTTTCATACAAGGGCGTGGTAATACCTATTTCTTATGTATAGAGCGGTATACCCTGTTTTAAAGAGTTCCATAAATTTACTGTACTAAATATCCTGTATTCATAGCTGTATTGCTCACTCAATTCAAGTAAAATAAAATAATAAGTTTTAAATTTATTACTTTTTTTAACTTGAATTGAGTTATAATGTGTGCAATACAGCTATGAATACAGAAAATAATGAAACAATGAAACAAATCAATAAGATTTGTTTCATTGTTTCAATAAGAGGTTAAGTTTATAAAAAAACTATTTTAACCAAATATACGAAAAAAACTATTAATTAATTAAATAGATTTGAGTTTTTTATGTCAGAAGCAGTTCAGCGGCATTTTTTTATCCATAAAACCTCTTCAGCAATTTTGTATTTTTTGAGTAAACACAATTTGCAAATCAAAAACTTGCAATTAAAAAAAAAATGCAAATAAGCGGTAAACGTATCAGTCTGATGTTATTGTCAATGCAAATACGTGCATTATTGTAAGTAACGTGTGCGACGTGTCTGTCCAAAACTAAAATATGATTGAAAAAATGATTTAATTAATTTGATGTTGTAAATACAGTGTTTGGTGGTCCCCTACACACCAGTCTTTGTACAGACGTGAAATTGATTTGTAAACTAGGAATGGTGACAAAATGGTCCCGATAGCGTTGACACAATTACCGAATTTGTAATTAACTTTTTTGTTGTTACCAACTAATTTTAAAGGGCGTTTAGAACCAAGCCTGCAAAATATGTGTTGTTCACCTTTATTGTCTGAAAATCCCAATTTGTCAAAACGCCACAAATTACACGAAGTGTTGTTGTTGATATTTGCTTTAAGACTGTTTTTGAAGTTTACAGAAATAACTTGTTATTTTATCCTAGGTACAAAAAGAAGCTATAAGAGACGAAATATTGTTTGCTACTCTGACATTTAATTAATGACTCCATCATAAATTAAGCGTCAATATTTATAAGTAATATAATATGACGAAATATTATGTAACATTTTGTCATATTATATGATTTTATAATTTTGATACCATTCTCGTCCTGGTATACCGTTTGGTGGAAACAGATTACTTTGATTTGTAGATACCAAATAACCCCCGACTTTTGCAAAGATATGTGCAAATGTTCTGCCGAATCCCTAATCCACTAAAGTGATAAGTACTGAAACAAGAGCAAATTCAAACACTACTTAGCACGGTAGTTGTACCTCTACCGTTTGATTGGACTTTGTTGTGCACACGCTTCTAAAGAGTTGTTATTGGTATGTTGTATTCGTCTAAAACTTTACTGAGTGTTACTCTGCCTATTTGGATTTGTTCTACTGCAAGTTACAATTGCTCTTTAATGTACGTTGTTAGCGTTTTACAAATGTAGATACGAACTATTTATGTTTTGAAAAGTTTTAGATAGCAAAGGCATATTTATTAACTTTAATCGTATTTATTTACGTTTTAATTAATAATTAATTATCAATTAGTTATGCCGCGTTTATCTTAATTCATGAGTGTGAGCAATCAGCAAATTACTCTTCTCCTGAAAAATATTTAATTAGTTAATAATTATTAACTAGCTGACTGGACCCGTAAAAATACGGGTCATTGTAAGTTTTTTCCTCATCTTTCTATACTTTTTCCTTATATATATATATATATATATATATATATATATATATATATATATATATATATATATATATATATATATATATATATATATATATATATATATATATATATATATATATATATATATATATATATATATATATATATATACCACACTGATCATCTTTATACTTATCTACTCTACACTGATTATTTCTAATCTTATTCCTTATTTACTTCAATATTTTTGACTCAACGGTAGAAACACAATTCGTTAAAATAAAATTGCCTAAAGAGCAAAAAAAAATTAACATACGCACCGTTTCCACATACGTAGACCTTATAAGAGATTTATAAAACAGATTGTTTTACTCTTATATGCATATCCTTAATTGCTCAGTGGTTTAATGCGCTATCATCGGTGTTGTTTTGCGCGGGTTCATATTCACCTTGTAACACATTTGTAATACATTTTGTAATACATTTTGTAATACATTTTAGATTTTTAAAAACTTTGCAATAGTTTTGAGGAAAATCTAAGTATTTTCAGTGTAATATGCCTAACTAAAACTTGGTGTTGTTTTAATGACTCAAATTTAGATAATAATTTTTTAATACCAAGCTATAATTTGATTTTATTAGCGCGGAAAACAAATAAACGCGGCGGTGGTTATATTATTTATGTAACGGTATTATATTTGGCATGACATGAGTATTTTTGTCGTCGTTAAAGAGGTTTTAACGATTGAAATATTTATCAATAAAACTAAAAACATTGTGATTAGCTGTTCTTATCGCTCACCTACCGGCAAAATTTAAACTTGAAGTACATTTTTACGTGATAATGTTATAAGCAAAAGCAACCACAAAAAGAAATTACTTTAAATATTAGGTGATCTGAATTTAAATTGCTTTGATTATCACATCAAAAAAGACATTAATGGGTTTAATGGTTATTTGAAAATGGAGCAGTACCTCTAATAATTAAAAAA